TCACTTGTCAAGGTAATAAAAGCATTTTGTGGAATTTTTTCAAGCAAGGATTCCAATCTTTGAAAGAATAACTGAATAATAGACTTAGGGGGTCTGTACACAACAATGAGAAAACTATTAAGCTTCTTACTGAAGGTAATAGAGAATTCAAATGCAGATTCAATGCAGAGATAGTTAAATTTATTCCACTCCGGGAACGCAACTGTATTACAGCAGTCAGTCTATCATGTATTCTACAACCCACCCAAAAACAAAAAATAAAAACGAAAAAATGGCTTTTTATGGGGTATGTGAGTGGGAATGGAAGGTGGTCTAAAATTGGGCTAAGTCTTATTTTTTAATCAGATAGTGTAAAAAATTGAATTCTGGTAGTGAGGGCACTTTGCCTATCTTAACGGGGTCAACCTTCCTTAAAATGTTTCTCTCCCCCCAATTGTTGAGGTTTTACACTTGATAGAATATACCAGGTCAATGATCAATTACAAATAAATAAATAATACCAAAACAAATTCATGGCATAACGCCTTTTAATATCGTTAAATTTTGAGTCAGATAAAAAACTGGTACTGGACAATTTTTTATTACAAATACCACTAGTCAAGAAAAAAGTAAAAACTAAAAAAGGAAATAGTAAAAATTCTACCAATTACTGTATCACCGTGCTTAACACAACTCTGAAACTGATAACAAAGATATTTACCAATAAGATCGATGGAAAAACAAAATCAATGAAGAGCAACAAGACTCTTCACCCAAATAGATCAACTAAAATCAATTCAATGATAAAACTTCCTAAGACAATGACCGCCCCTCCTTGTTCTGTCTTTATTAGGCCTTGTCTTCTTCTCATAATTTTTCTTTGAATTATTCATAGTTTTTCTTAATATTTCTTCATAAGACACATAACTTCCGTTTCATATGCTATGATTGCTGATTAATATATATTTGTCTTTGTTTTTTTGCTCAGGTTTTTGTCTTTAAGTGGTCAGTGATATTTCCAATACACCCAGTTCCCTGCCTTAATTATTTGGCTTATTTAAGTTAATTTTAAATCCTTTCCTTGTTAATATTTGTTTTGATTATTTTCATCTTTAATTTTGCTTTTAGTAGTATATGAACAGTGTTTGCATTTGCTCCCTGTATATCTCTATTTAAGCTCCCAATAGCTTAAATTGCGTTTATTGTTGTAAAATTTAATTGAAAAAAAAAAGATATACTTCAACAGGTATAAACTTTATATAACAAGTCTAGAAATAAGTCTGTATAACTTTTTTTTTTAATACAATTGGATCCAAAAATAAAGTAAAATCACAAATTTTTCAGTGACAACAGCCCATCTATCTTTTTTTGCATTTCAATCTTTGTATTTTCTGATTTGCACATCCCACAACTCATAGCATAAATTTACTTTGTTAATAAAATCTATAATTCTCTCATTGAACCTAGCATTGGTTATTTTATTCTTCCCAAATTTTCCAAAACTGCAACTATTTTAGCTTGCCAAGTGATTGTCCAGCAACCAGGTACATGGTTGATACAAAAAATATGTGGCAGTTACTGGTTATATAGCTGATTCATACTAAGAACATTCCCAAATAAGCAGTAAAATATTGTTCGTTTTGAGGCATTTCAATAAATAGTTATATAATTTTGTCAGTAATTTTAATATTGTTCTGAAGCTATTTTCTTGTGGCATTTTTAAAGTAATTACAATTTTAATGGGAATAAGCCACAATACTTAGTGAAAATTCTTCTAATAATTCAGACATACATTATACATTTTAAAGTAGACGACTTTAAAATGATATTGCCAATATTGTTAAGTTGCGCTTCTGGGATAACTTCACTTTATGATAGTTCCTTCAATTACATAAAATCAACTTTAACTTGAGAATATTCATCAGAAAAAAATCATAGCATGTAATTCGTCTTTAAAAAGACAAATACATGCCATGATGACAGTAAAATTCTCCTGTTAGTGATTCCATAGTAAATTATGAGGAAAAAACCAGGAAAAAAAACCTCATAATACTATCCTGACATGGTAAGTATTTGGTCGTGCATTTAGTTTTGGCCTTCAATAAACACCAAATTCTGATTTTATGTTTGTTATTTAAAAAACATAAATGATGTATCCTCTATATGTTACTGACTTACTAATATTCTTGGTATTTTCCTTTTCATAACTTCCTCTTTTAATATGGGTAACCAGATCCTACTACATTCTGCCGAGGAATTTGCGACACACTTGGTCTCATTTAGCATAATTAGAGCCGCTTCTTTGATTTTTCTTTTTTTACCATCAGTTTCTTTTAGGACTATATTTGAATCATTTCAAATATTTAAAAACAAAGAGGTGAGGTCGTTCTATCAAGAAGTTAAAAAGATGGGAAAAGGTTACCAAAGCCACTGTAGTTATATGAAAGGTAAAGACAGAAATTTAATTAGCGATCCGGCAGAAATAATGACGGAATGGAAAAAACATTTTGAAGAACAATTAAATGGTGAGGTGGACCACGAAGCAGTAGAAAACTGGACGGTTGGAGAAGATGCAATGGTTGAAAGGCAGCCTACAGAGGAAGAGGTGATGACAGCAATACATGAAATGAAAAATAACAGAAGTCCTGGTAAAAATGACATATGCATAGAAATGAACAAGTTTGAACTACAAAGAAAATTATATCAGCTACTAGTGCAAGTATGGGAAAAGGAAATAATACCATCAGAGTGGTATGAAGCCCGCATATGCCTTCGGCATAAAAAAGGAGACAAACAACAATAGAGGTATAGCCTTACTCGACACGGTATACAAAATCTTTGCAAGAATATTAAGAAATAAACTAAATTGCTACACTGCAAGAATCCTACATGAGTATCAGGCTGGTTTTAAAAAGGAGAGATCTACTGTAGACCACATCTTCTCATTAAAGGAGATACAAATGACTTGTTATGAAGGTAAAGTTCCCTGCATGTTTTGTTTGTGGATTTAAGACAAGCATATGATAGAGTCGATAGAGTCAAAATGTATCGAGCAATAAAACATTTGGGAATACCAAAGAAACTGATCCGCCTAGTAGAAATGACATTAAATAACTCTAAGTGTGAAATTGGCAGGCAGGGCTTGGCAGGGTCACATATCAGATCAATTTACGGTTGCAAAAGGCTTGAGACAGGAAGATCCTTTATCAACTACATTATTCAACTTAGTGTTAGAAACTGTAATCAGAAAGAGCAACATGAAGGTGGAAGAAACAATCATGAAAAATGAGCACCAGTGCTTGGCATTTGCTGACGATTTAACGATCCTAGCAATAACCAAGAAAGACTTAGGAAGAGTTGTGAAGAAAATCATTGAAGAAGCACAAAAATTCGAATTGGAACTAAATGAAAACAAAACCAAATATATGATCATGGGAGGAACAGAAGGGAAAAAGAAGACTTTAGTGTGAGGTCTGTAAGTGGTAAAAGCTATAGTTTTAAAAGGGTGGACAAATTTGAATACTTGGGTGTAGTTTTCGATGAAAATGGAAAAGAGAAATGGGAGCTGAAAGCAAAAATAGCAAAAGGGAATAAAAAATTAGGTAGTTTAAGAGCCCTACTGAACTCAAAATACATTTCTAGACAAGGTAAACTCAGAATATATAAAACAGTAATTCGACCCACAGTAACATGCTGGTGAGACATGGATATTAAATAAGAAGGAAGAGAAGAGGAAGATACTCTGGAAAGATGGGAAAGGAAAATACTGAGACGCATATTCAGAGGACTAAAGACAGATGAAGGTTGGGAGAGAAGAACCAACAATGAACATAAGTTTCACAGAACGAAATATTGAGTTGGCAGTGTTGCCATGTTATTATAATGTATATGTTATATGCTTCAAATACAAAGAGATAAAGCTTTTAAAAGGTACATTTTTATCATATTATTTTATGGATTCTGCAATTTTATACCTTATATAAAATATTAATGAAGCAATATTTGTTTCGTTTGATATTAGTTGTAATAAATTATCAGAAAATTTTTTTAGCAATTGCCCTTTGGTAGGTTAGCGGATAGATTTGGCAATAGAGTCAGAACCCTTAAACCACCAGCTGCCAAATTGCAACAAATGCCTTTAAAATTTTATTATTTATACTGACATTTTACTATTTTACTGTTAAAAACTGTTTTAAAACTATTTGCTTTTTCTTTTTTCGTAATTGTTAAATATTAGTTTTTAAATATCTTATTGCTTTTAGTTGCGTATGTTTCGTTTGTAATGTAAATTTCAACACTGCGAAACACCAATATTTCATTCTGTCAAACCCATTTGAAGCTATTTTCAATGGGACCAAATGTGAAAATCATCCCCCATTTAAATTATGGGTAATTTTAATGTTAAAATCATTTAAATGTCACGTTGAATACAGGTTGCTTATAACCTTTACCTTTCAACTGTCCTATAAACCTTTACAGAACAAAAATTGTTTATATTATGCATATATTTACTACTATTAAAATTAATTACAAATTTAATTTGTAGTGTTCTACTATGGATTCCCTCAATAAAAACAAACACTCATTAATCTCATTATTTAATAATGATGAAAAACTATGAACCTTCCAGTGTTCTGGTAATTTAAGGTTTGGTTACAATTAATATAAACTTTCAAGTGTGCACTTTTTTCTGACTGAACTACATTTGTGACATAAAGAAACAAGCCACCCACATGTAAAACAACACTCACAATAAAACATTCTAAAATATCAGCCTTTATAATAATAAACACAAAGGGTATTTAAGATTTAGGCTAATCTCCAATATATCTTTAATATCAATATGACAATAGTGTAATAGTTGAAATGAGGTTATTTATATTTAAAAATTAAGATATAGTCTAAACAAGTAAAAACTATTTTTGTAATGTTTATAATTACAATTTGCAAATGATTACAATTACTTATACTTTTACTTTTTTAAAAATTACTTTCCCAAAACTATTCTTATTTATACATACCACATTGACTCTGATTTTCTTCAGTTAGGTCTTTGTTATTTGGTTCAGACTTCAAAATTTTACAGTTTAACAAATTGCTTGTATCTTCAATTTGTTCATGTTTTACATTTTCAATACATATTGCCGTATTCATTTGATTGAACCAATGCTTAGAATCTTCATTAGTTGTATTATCCTCAAGTAGAAGTATTTCTTGTTTAAATTCATTTTTTATCAATATCACACCATCGGTGTCGGTTTCGCTTTTTATATTAGATACTTCACTTTTTGTGTAAATGTCTTCCTGTTTCTCCATACTGTTCAAAGACATTTAGATTATGTTCACTATGAAAAAATGGACACCAAATCAAATCCAAGACCAAAGAATATAGACGCTTAATAAGAGTCAAGACGGTGCATTTTTTTATGTACTATTTATTGCAGTGTTACCAGTGGCTGGGCATGGAAGGATGCACCTCCCTGTCAAAAATTATGCGATTTTGTACAAAATTATGCGCTCTGTTGTAACCTTACTGTCATCTGTCACGTCCTGTCAGTTGTCATTGTAAAGGCCGTATGACAGTATGCATTTTCTTGTATCATCGTTTCTGATATAGGAAGTTATCTGATTATAGCCACAAATGTCAAACATAGAACAAAAAGTTTCTCTATAATTCTGCAATTTTTGATTTATATAAAACAACAATGAGTAAATATTTGTTTCCTTTGGAGATTTATTGCAGTTAATAATTAGAAATTTTTTTAGCAATTACCCTTTGATAGGTTAGAGGATAGATTTGGCAATCGTCAATCAGCAGTTGCCAGATTACAAAAAAAATTGCAATTAATCTCAAAAAAGACAAATATCTACTCGTTATTGCTTCATGTAAATTAAAAATTGCAGAATTCATTAAATGGTATAATCAAAATGTACTTTTTAAAAGCTTTATCTCTTTATATTTGAAGCATACAACATGCGTTATAAAAACATGCCAACACTGCCAAACCGAAATATTTTTGACATTTGCGGCTATATTCAGCTTGTACTTTCGGTAAACTCAACCCAATTGTTTATTATTTTGTGGCTGTGTAAAATGTCAGCATAAACGCTTTCTTTTAAAACAAACAAGAAGACGAGTACTCTTATTATAAACTGGCTTGTCATTGGTTTTTTTTGCTTTGCTGGATTGTGCGAAATTATGTGATTTTATGCAGGATGCGAAAAATTATGCGCCGGCAACTAAATTATGCGCAAATCGCATAATTATGCGCCGATTGGCAACACTGATTTATTGGTATGGTAATTTTATGGGAGGATCAGAGATATGTAAGAGATATATCTTACATAGTACATACCCCCCTAGTAAGGTAACTCCCATATAAAGTTTTGGAAGAGAGTTTCTAGCGCCAAATACGGACGGGCCGAAACTAATTTCATTTGGCGGCAAATTCAAAACATAAATTCAGAATTTTAGGCGGCAAATTCAAAAAATATGCTCTGAATTTTAGGCGCCAAAATTCAAAAAGTATGTTTTTAATGGAAAGTAAATATAGTCATAAAATAAGAAATAAAAACTTATTCTATGCCAGAAAATATATCCTCTCTGTCCAAAAATATAGTATACACCTACACATTTTTTATATATTATATATATATATATTATATATATATATATATATTATATATATATATATATATTATATATATATTACAGTGTAGGTAAAATTTTAAGGTCGGTATGGTAAAATTTAACAGGATATCTAACGCAGATATAAAATCATATTTTCAACGAATTAGACAAAGATAACAATCATATTTCCCCTTCGTCTCCCCTCCTAAAATCCTTTTAACACTCATTGGCCATTGCCCATTAGTGAGACGATTAGTTCCGATCAGATATTCTCTGGTTCCGATCCTAATATACCTAAAACTAAAAACTAGAGGTGGGTCTTCTCGTTTTTTTAATTTTTATCGGAACCGTTTTTCGTAAACTGTAACTAGTTGATTGTTTACCAGTATTCAAATTAGCGAGTACACAAACATATTAGCTATTATCGTTTATGTGTATAAGTATTGAAATAAAAGAACCTAACGAAGGATATATTTATTGTAACTTGAAAAATAAATTAAATAATACAAATGGTACTTAAATAGTTACATTTACATTACACATTATTAAATCGCGAATCGTCTAAATTGACATTTAAAAACATAAGTTTTTCCACTTTTCTTGTTAATCGCGTTCTTCTTTTATTTAAAATTATACCAGATGTTAAACATGTGTTCACAAGGAAAAGATTTTGTTACAATACTACAACATTTTATGAATATAGTGGTTAAGTTACGATATACATGGCGATGGTTTTTTCACCACGGTAATGGACAGTTCCAATCTCCGTTCGAAATTGTTTGTGGGTAATATATCATCAGACAATTACATGTCGACTTCTTTTATACCTCTCGATACAGGTGTATGTTTAGATGAGTCATGTCCAATTAATTCATCAAAAATACACCATGGACTTAAGTCATCTTTATCAGTTTCTTTTTCTTGGACTGATTGATTTTCAAGATTTACTAAACTTTTCGTTTCATCCGTTTTCCATAGTTAAAGAACCAGCTTTTAAAAAGTTTGCAGGGTGGATTCCTGGATATAAACCGCCAACAAGAAAAACTTTGTCAGGTTCATTACTTCAGGAATGTTATGTCAAAAGTGAGCAAATTATTAGATCGCAAGTTGTTAAAGAAGTAGAAAATATCTGTATTACTACTGACCTCTGGACATCTGGAGTAACTGAGAGTTACTTCGCATTAACAGGACAATATTTAACACAGGACAATAGTTTTTATGTCAATTTAGACTATTCGCGATTTAATAATAACGTGTAATGTAAATGTAAGTCCGATTTACTATTTGTATTGTTTAGTTTAGAACAGAATATTTAAAACAGAATATTTAAAAATTGGAGGAAATACCACAGATCTGAGGCTTGAAAACGCAGTCATAAAAGGCTGCAACCAGTATAAATATCTAGGAAGCATCATATCAGCAGATGGCAGAGTTAAGATAGATGTACAAAACCGAATAACCCAAGGGAAAAAATGCATCCGAATACTGAATTCATTACTGTGGTCTAATAAAATAAAGATGCATACCAAACTTCGCGTATACAGAGCAATTGTAGAACCAATTACTACATATGGTGCCGAATGTTGGACGATGACAAAGAATGAACGAGATAAAGTAGACGTTGTGGAAATGGATTATCTTAGAAGGTCATGTCGAGTATCGAGAATGGAAAGAATCAGGAATGAGGAAATACGAAACCGTACAGGAATTAGAGATACTCTTTCAGATAGAATACAAGGAAGGCAATTACAATGGTATGGTCACGTGATGAGAATGGAGGAGGAGCGGTGGCCAAAGAAAGCCTTAATGTATGTTCCGCCAGAAAGAAGGAAAAGGGGAAGACCACCAAATTCCTGGAGAAGAGAAATTACAAAAACAATGCAATCTAGAGGCTTAGAAGAGGGAGATTGGGGAGATAGGAAAAGATGGAGGCTGAAATGCGGGAAGCGGCAATCGCCGTAGGACCCCCGTTATATGATGATGATGATTGTTTAGTTTATTTTTCAAGTTATAATAAATATATCATTAGGTAGTTTCTTTTACTTCAAAAGATATACACATAAACGATAATAGCCGTTATGTTTGTTTATGTAGGTACTATCTTACTTGAAACTACTTTTAAACAATCATAGTTACTTGTTTATGAAAATTAAAATTTTTAAATGCTTTTTAGCATTCAAAAAAATTTAAATTTTTTTGCAATCCTGAGAAAACTAACAAATATTTTTGAAAAATTTAAATGCAGAATGAAAGATTACATTTTGTTTTTTTTTTCATCCCTATAACTTATTAAAATAAACATTATAGAAGTTTTCAGGGACTTTCAGCTCTCGGTAATAATGTATTGTTTCATTCTGCGTTTAATTTTTTCAAAAATATTTATTAGTTTTCTCAGGATTCGAAAAAAATGAATGCATTTAAAAAACATTCGCCCGAAATTTTGCACCTACGCTCTTAACGATAAACTAGCACGACCCACCTCTACTTCTCGTTACTCGATCTTTTGACCAGACGAATATCTAGACTAGACGTTGCCAAATAAATTAGTGTATGAATATTTTTTAATTTGGCGTTATTGTATGCATGTTTAATTGTTTATTATTTCATATTGGGAAATTATTTTGATGTTTAGATTTTTAGTTCGGAAATCGTACTTAAAATACGAAACATTAATAAATTTTATTTATATAAAACGATTTCCGAAATGGAAATCAAAATGTTATATTACAATTATTGTAAAGAAAACTTGTGGCATATTCCCAATAAAAAAAACAGTAACCTGCCATTTAAATCAATTTCGCCCAAATTTGATTATCTTGAGCATTTTATCTTCTTGATAGAACATTGTTCAAATGCAAACAAAGACAAGAGGTCAAATAAAACCAATAAGTTTGGCAACGTTGAATTTCCCCTTTTTTAATATTTCCATTCAGCGATATAAAGGGCGTACCTAATATACCTCTCTCTTTTTAAACAGCTGTTTCTCACTCCATCTCACGTAAGGTCCATACCGACCATAAAATTTTTCCTACACTGTATATATATATATATATATATATTATATATATATATATATATATATATATATATATATATATATATATATATATATATATATATAAATGTATAACATAATATCTGATACAGAGAGAGTATATATTATGGTACAAGAAAGTTTTTATTTAATATTTTATGATTATATCTGTTTTCCATTACATTAACAAACCAAAGTCCCAAAAATAACAAAATAAAACACAAACATCCTGACACTTGTTTATTTGTATAATTTTCTTTGGTAAAGTATTGGCAACATATCCTCCTCCTCCTCCTTACTTAAGCCCTTGTTAAGGTGTGGGTGGGGACACTCTAAATATTGTTAACTTGCTGTCTCCATTGGCTGCAATTCTGTACCAGATGAACAACTTCGTGAAGGGATTTTTCCACCAATCTTCATTTAATCTTCCCATCATGTTGTGAGATCGTCATTTTGATATACAAATATAGATACCTCTATATTTATTAGCAATGGTTTGTAGTAAGTTCCATACCTTCTAAAATACTTTTCCTTAAAGTACCATGTAGATAATAAAGTGTAAACCCTAGCATGTCTGCGATCTTGCTCTTCACAATGATCACAAATTGGCATGTGACTCAATGTAACTGTTACTCAGAAGTAGAAGATCCATGAAAATCTAAAATA